TTCCCCACAGCCCCGCCAGCATTTGTTATTGGTTGATTTCATGATAGCAGCCATTCTTTCTGGGGTGAGGTGGAATCTCAGTGTTGTATTCATTTGCATCTCTCAAATGACCAGTGATATTGAACATTTCTTCACATGTTTATTTGCTATTTCTACTTCTTTGTCTGAGAAATGTCTGTTCATTTCAGATGCCCATTTTTGGATTGGGTCTTTAAATTTGGGAGGTCTGATTTTTTTAAGTTCTTTATAGATTTGAGATAGTAGACCTTTGTCTGAGGAACTGCTGGTGAAAATTTTTTCCCACATTGTGGGTTGTCTCTTCACACTGCTGGTGGTTTCTCTTGCTCTGCAGAAGCTTTTTAGTAAAAAGAGATCCCTCTTGCTGATTGTTTGTGCTAGTTCAGGGCAACTGAGGTTTTGTTCATAAAATCACATCCTACACCAATGTCTTCAAGAGTTCTACCTAACCTCTGTTCCAACTGGTTCAGAGTTTCTATTTTAATATTTAGATCTTTAATCCATTTTCATTTTAGTTTAGTTCATGGTGAGAGATATACATCTAGTTTTAATCTTTGACAAGCTGAAACCCAATTTTTCCAGCCTCATTTATTAAAGAGGCTATCTTTCCTCCAGTGAGGGTGTTTGGCTCCTTCGTTGAAGATGAGGTGGCTGAGTGTATCTGGAGTTGTTTCAGCAACTCCTAATCTGTTCCACTGGTCCTCAGGTCTGTTTCTTTGCCAGTACCATGCTGTTTTTATCACAGTAGCTTTGTAGTATAGTTTCAAGTTGTGGATTGTGATACCCCCTGCCATGTCTCTGTTACCTAGAGTTGCTTTTGGTATTCTGGGCCTCTTCTTTTTCCAAATGAATATTTGGATGGTTTTCCCAAGGTCTATGAAGTATGCTGCTGGGATTTCAATTGGGATTGCATTGAATCTATATAGCAGTTTTGGAAGTATGGCCATTTTCACTATGTTGATTCTTCCTACCCAGGAGCAAGGGATGTCTTTCCATTTTCTGATATCCTCTTCAATGTCTCTTTCCCGACCTCTATAGTTTTCAGAGTAGAGGTCTTTGATTTCTTTTTTTAGGTTGATTCCTAGGTATTTCAATTTTTCGGATGCTATTGTGAAAGGAACTGATTGCCCTATTTCTCTCTCAGTGTGTCTGTTGTTCCTGTGGAGGAAAGCTATTGATTTTTGTGTGTTGACCTTGTATACAGCTACTTTACTGAATTTGGCTATTAAGGCAGGAAGACTTTTCATGGAGCTCTTAGGGTCTTCTACATAGAGTATCATGTCCTCTGAAAATAATGACAATTTGACTTCTTCAATTCCTATATTTATTTCTTTTATATCTTTCTCTTGTTTAATTGCTGTGGCAGTGGTTCTGTCCCTGCCTCACAAGCATAAGGTCCCGAGTTCAATCCCTGGTACCAAAACAAAAAAGGACTGTAGGACAGTGCTCTGTGTTTAGGGTGCATGGGATTTAGCTCAGTGGTTCCGCCGCCTGGATCAGACTTTTATTATAATGAACATAAAGTGGGTAAAGACTGGCCTGTTCTATATGGGTTACTAAAGAAATTGTAGTGCTTTCAAAAACTCTTCAATAATTGAACTGGGCATGGCACACACTAGGTTTTGTTTGCAAGGTACTTAAAACAGTTGAGTAGGATAATTGATGATTAAAACACAAAAAACCAGCAATTTGTTCCCTAGGATGCTAACAAAAATCCAAAGGACCATAAAACAGTGACCTTTCACATATGAAAACAGGTTGCAATGGTCAAAGAACTATAAAAGCTACTTCACAGTCAGCATATATAGAATATATATATGGCTATTTTAATATATGTAAAATAATCAGAACTTGAAGTACCTCTCTTGAGAAAGGTACTATAAGAAGAGAAAAATATAAGTTTTCCCCCAAAATCTGTAATATTACCAGAAAGACATTGAAAACTGAAGGAGACTCTTAGGAGCAACAAAGAAATATAGTTTCCACTCATATTTTCCTCCCATGTGCCATAGATCATCTTAGTTTAATAAAGTATTATGCCTCTGTGCCAGTACAGGGGCTGAATTCTTGCAGTAATCAAGTAAGTGTACTTTTCCAGAAACTCTGCAAGGGGCAGGAGGCAGCTCAGGGAGCAAAAGGACAGAGAATGTCACTCTAAGGTATTGTCCCAATGGAAGAAATCATTAACTATCAAAAAGTTTAAGGAAAATAGACACTTTTCACGTAGAAAACCAATACAGCAGCATTGATAGAAAGGACGCAAACATACAGAGCTAAATATATAGTAAAATAACAAGGGAAGAAAACCAGGCCTGATAACACTACTAAACCAGAAACAGTAGGACACACACTTGATAGTTCCTTGTAAGAAGTGGAGATAGGTCTGGAGTCAGCCTTACAAGCCCTGTATCCCATCCTCCCCATGCTAAACTGTTGCAAGCTAACAGACACCATAAGCTAAAATGCTAAATGGAATTTCTGAAGATTAAAATGATAACTTTCTATAAAATTAGCCAATCACTAATCATGAATTATGGTTTAATTCCTAACTCCAAAATAAACATGCATGCTACCTTACGCAAATTCATTTTCATGCAAAGAAGGTCAAATATTTATCCTCTGTTACTATTCCTATTTTATTTTATTTATTATGAAACTATTTATCATTTGGCAGGATCCTTTCAACCTTCAATAGATTATAAACTTTCTGAAAGTACATTTATTTTGTTCATCATTTTCTAGTCTCTAGAACAATACCTTTTATAACCCAGGAGTTAATCAATAATTGATGCATAAATCAATTTTTTTCTGAAATCAAAATCAAAATAAATGTTGGAGAGGTTAATTTTTCAAGTTCTTTCCCAAAGTATAGTGCAATAGAAATAATTGGGTACTTTAGCAATAGATATGAAGCTGAAAAGAAGTAAAAGGTAATCTGTAAACTTTCTACCAGAAAGAATTTTCTGCCTGTAAACCCTGTAAAGCCTTGGTTACGTTTCCAAGCAGAAATCACCTTATACTTTATCTGCAGCACTGGACCACATATCATGATGATCGGTAGCCTCCAAAGGCTTTGAAATATATACCAAGCTCCAAACTCCTCCGCACAGCAAACCCCAAATTTATGTCCACTTCAGTCTTTGCCATTTCAGTGATAATTTACTACTGGGGCTAGAGATAATAAGCAAATACTATATATTTCTACTCACATGGACAAGAGTCTCCAATGACTAGCATATCATTTATTTTATAATACTGTAGCTCTCACTAAAATCCTTATGCTCTCATACCAAATTTGCATATGGTGATTTACTACAAATCAATATTTTTCATTGCCTATTACTTTTGAATCAGAGTGCTTAATAATAATTTTATTTTCCTGGGTAATTGGGCAATGTTGATGGTTGAAGAGTATATGTGTAAGAATGAAGTGCCTGTGGAAGGAGGAGAGAATGTGAAGGTGTACAGGGAACATTTTTAGCTATAAAGGACAGTTTTTGACTTGATCATAGAGATTACAGAAAGAATGTCATTAGCTACACAGTAGCTAAGTATCACCCTTCTTTATGTATGTATGTATCACCCTTCTTTAAAGGTGATATTGTTCTAATGCCCAAATTGAGGCAGGAATCCTGCTAAAATAGTCACAAAAAGTCAGAAGAGCCTTTGTTGCTTTTCTTACCTAATCTCAGAATTTGTGTAGTGGATTAAAAAAGAAAAAGGATTGTTACAATTTTGAAGCAAGAGAGTACTATGTGTGTCAAAGGACTCATCTTATTTTTCTGTGTATTTTTCCTTTAGTTCCAATGGGAAACTTTATCTGCCAAGTGTGGTGCCTTCCTTTGTTTATTTGCTATTAAACTGTTTGAGGGGGGAAAAAAAAGGTTGTCATCTAACTTTGGCTTGAAAACCTCCAGTAATGAAGAGTGATAAAATGAAAGGGAGCAGAGATGCAGAGAACTGCCCATGCTCACTTGATGCACCTCACCAGTGATTGTCAATTCATCACTAACATATTCCATCCATCAGTAAGCTCCACACATTCTACACAAAACTATAAAACTATACCCTGGTCTACCCAGTTCATCTCCATTGCTCAGAGCACCTGCTACACTCATCAGACCATGACCATATCTCACAGCCTCTGAACTCGCTCGCTTGCTTCTAATTTAGCAATTGCTACTTTACATGACAGTCCAACTGATGCTTTCAGAAAATTAATCATTTCTTATCTCTTCTGTGTTTAAAACATTTCAGTGCCTCCTGAGGTCATGCAGAATCAATCCCACATTTCTATGTACCAATACACTGCCTAGCCTCTACTTCCCTTCCTGATCAGCTTCCCTCTCTCCATTTGTGTTCTTTAAACATAGTAAATATGCCTCAAGACTTTGCATATTTAACTTCTTCAGCCTGCAAACATCTCTCCCTTTATCTTTCACTGCCTGAACCCCAAAGGAGAACGTCCTTACACAGAATGAAGCATCAGGAAAGTAAGTAAACCTCATGATATTTGGTCCTTCTAACTTCTGAATTCTCTCATTATCTAGTATATCTAGTATAGCAATGGCACTCACACTCACCACACTGCATTAGGACTCAGAGTTCCTATTCATTCTTGCTAAACTCTGGGCAGTGTGAAGGCATCAGCTATGCATGCCACATGTTGGAATCTCTTCTGCCTACCAAAGTAGAGCCACTTCTCTGTAAGAATATCTTATCAAAAGAAAAATAATAGGAGATTGTAAAGAAAATCTTAGGTAAATGTTTAACCAAAGCACAAAAAAAAGCTAAGTATTTGCAGAGCTAACATGGTTACCTGGGGAGGCAGCTTTGTGTAACTGAAGGTTGCCACAGAGTATTTTAATAATGCACAAAATATTTTTAGTTAACATCTGGTATGTCTTGAGACCACATAGAAACAGGAGTTCCCTGAGCCTGGGATTGCTGCTAAGGTGGACTGAGAAGAAAGTGTAACCTACCTTTGATGAGCCATTTGGGGAAGCTGCCTGGCCATCAACACTCCTTGACAGATGCTGAAAAGAACCACTGGCAAAGCAGTCGCTGAAATGGTCTGAAATGATGGGTTTTCCTTTTGTCACTGAAGGTCATAATCTATTCATCTTGTCTTGGTTCTTTGGCTGGAAAAAAAAATCACATATGGACCAATGAAACTTTGTATACTTCACACATAATTACCCAACTTTACCAATAATACATGAGCTAATTTGAATCACAGAAATGTGGATAGTGCTGAAATGGGATGGTAAGTGGTCTACACTAGAGCTTAATAAATGGTAGTTGAATTAAAGAATATTGGGTTGAAAAGCACAGTTGGATTGAAGGGCTTATTCACTAGGGTTTTTTTTGGCAGCCAACAGTATTTGGGGAAAAAAAGAGAAAATGTTCCATCTCCAAATAATGGAGTATGCAATAGATTCAGTATTTGAGAAGATCCATTTGCAGATGAATAGCAATATATCCTTGGGGGTCAGGGGTCCTCTCACCATTTGGACATCCTCATAGAGAAGTTTTGATTGCAAAGACACTTGAATTTGATTTTACATTTCTAAAAGCTACTTTTAGTGTTTTAATCTTAAGTTGTTCTGCTCCTTTATAAAAGGGCACAATTCTACATAATTAATATCACAAAACAATGGCTAGCAATTATTTTTAAATGCTTGCTTAAATGTTGTGAACTAACCATTTTGTGAATGTTCTCTCCCATTTCTGAGTAACTCAATGATATTGACTGATTAAATCATGATTGATGATGTATCTTTACTGTTGGCCTTTCAAACTGAACTGTCTTCACGTTCAAAGTGTTGATTAAACACCATTTCTCATTATTAAACATTCCTATGTAAAGACTATGTTGTATTAAATCCAGACACAAGCTTTATGATGTAATAGATGTTGTTGTCTGTAAGTTAATTAAATATATGAAAATGTATACAGGTAAATTAAGTCTGTAAATAACTACTACCCATTATTCCAAGTTGAGTGATTTGCATTAGCAAGTGGTGTGGATTTTAGAGTGCAAGAAAAAACTCTTCAATCAGTGCTGGGATTTTTTTTTTTTTGGTAAGTGATTACAAATTAATAGAAACCACAACAAAGGATATAAAGTTCCTCTGGATCATCATGAATATATCCAATGTTTTTGGATATAAATGGTGAAGGAAGCAATGATGCAATAATGAATCACAGATTCTCTGACTAGAAAAGAATTTGTAACTCACTGATTTTAGAAACCTCTATCTAATAAATGACTCCCATTTACAAAGCTGCTGATGTACTTGTCTTTCAATCCCTTTTCAACACTGCTGTAAATAAGAAATGTGTCACAAAGCAGCACATTCCATCTTTGAATATTTAAATACATTTGAGATATTTTTGACAGCTGACCTGAATTTATGACCTTGCAATTTCCACCCATTGATAGAGTTGCAAAAATAAACTTAATTCCACTAAATTATGATGATTGAAAGTAATTATTTTTGTTAGCATCTACTAATTTTTCTTTTTATTATACATAAATAATACTCCTTAGTTTTTTAACTAGTTTTTTTATAGATATTCTTCATCTCCCTGGGGATTTTTTTGTTAAGTATGGTCAATTTTTTATTCATCAATATATTTCAAACATTAGTATGGTATATAAAAGGAGATTAGAATGGGTATGTCAAATTAGTTAAAAGTGAAAAACTGGGCAAGATTTTCTCCACAACTTTTCTGATTTTTGCTTTGTTTTTATTTTTTATTCATACATATTTACAGGACATAATGACTACATTCCTTATAGGGCATTGGGACACATACACAACATGTGCACAACACATCTTAGGCGTTTTTTCATCCTCTTCCCCTTCTCAACCTCCCCACTCACTCCATCTCGTATTCCACTTATGTTCTACCTACAAACATAGTATATAGTCTGTTCATTTTGTTGTTGTTGTTGTTGTTCATTTTTAACTAGAAAACTTTAGTTTTAGAAACCACTATGTATACAAAAAAGTGCAAAATAAAACATATGTAAAATATATTCTATTACTTTTCATATTGGCAAAAATGAAAAATTAAGAAACTATCAATAGCCAGGAAAGAAGAGAGTACAAAGTGTAACACAAAAGACACAAAATTCTAAAACTGAGCAAATGCTTTGTTGCACAAACTGTCAAAATTAAATTTTACAGGAACCTAGGTGAAGTTCAACTTATGCAAAGCCATGGAAAATGAAAGCCTATATTATTCAAGCTTTTTGCATGACAGGTATGATCTTTCCAGTCTGAAATAGAGCACAGCTAGTACAAGTTTTCATCTGTACTTCTTACAAGAAGGCAAGATTCAATATGTTCACATTTCTGCTCTCTGCAGTCTTGTTACAACACTGACTCATGAAGAGTTATAGCCAGCTAAAATTTTCTCACACACATTGCTATTTGATTCTATTTTCCCTCTCCTGATTTTTGTTTGTTTTGTTTTCATTTTCACTCCTTAATTCAAATGTTCATCCTTACTGTATTTTATTAGGTAGGTCCAAATGATCATTTCTACACATTAATATGAATTTTATCTCAATACTATCTTCCAATGTTTTCAAACTATTCAGATGTATGTCAATGTACTTAACAAAATCTTTGGTAAAACTTGACTCAAGCAAGAAAAGAAATGAAGATTTTAGCTTGAAATTGTACTCTAGAGTGATCAAGATCTGCCCAACACATTAACTTTAATATACTATTTTTATTTCCAAAAGGTGACTGGTCTCAGAAAACAAATTAGGGCTAGGGTTAGGTTAAATATAATCAATCATCTGCTAGTAATACTGCTATTATAAACTTTACAGTTTTGTGTCTTTTTTTCAAGTTTTCTAGATATATTTGCTGCCTATTTCTCAGAGGATTCAAAATAAAAGTATGCCTTGTACTTTTGCACACAAAAGACTTCATATGTGATTTTCTGTCTACACATTGCTCCTGATTCTCATGCTTTTATCAGAGCACCAAAGCAGCAGCCAACCTTCTTTGGGTGTCGCACAAACTCTCACACTTACATAGATTTCTCAGTGAAATCATGTCCTTTACTATCTTCACTAGGCAGGCATGTTATAAATAGATGCTTTCCCAACCTTTTCAATGAAGCAAAGAGCCAGCCTCTGAAGGGTTAGATAGTTCTGACAGTGTGAATCGTTTATGCCAAGCCAAGGCACTGAAAGAAAAAACAAACAAATAAACTAAACCTGTCAGGTTGGCTGTCAAATATAATTAGACTACAATGGATGCTATAAGACCACCATTTATTTCTAGCACAATGATCTGGACCATCAAAATCACATGATGATTTTTACCAGTGGTCTATTTAATAGGCCAGGCATACAAAGCTGACTGATGAAATAGTTCTCTCATTTCACACCCAAAGAATGTGCCAGCGATACCCCTGATAATGATGGCCCAGGAATTAAGATTTGACATAGAGCAATACAGAAAGCATGGCTTTCAGAACTGAGAAACCTACATTTTTCATCTTTTCTCTGGTATTAACTGGTCTGGTGATTATAGGCCAAACTTGAGGTACCTCTGTATTCGTATCTCTAAAATGAGAGTTTTGGACAGAATTGTATCATGTCAGGACATTTTTTAATTTCTATGTTTCTTATCTGGAAGTCTTAAAATTCATTTGGCATTGCATGAAGAATATTCAACTGACTCCAATTTTACTTTGCCTTTCATTGGACATTTTGTCTGTGGTAGAAATCAGTAGTATTTTCATCTTAATCTAGGGAGATGAGAAACTAGAAGAGGAAGTAAGGAGCAAAACTGATGAAAAAAAGAAAAAAGATTAAAAATCTTTGATGAGTAAATATATATAAAGGAATCTAAAAATAGATCTCTAATCATTATACATGACTATAAGTGAAAACGTTCCTATTTTACTTGAATTTACTAGGATATTTAATTCTGCAAAGCCAACTGCTATTCTTTTCCTCCTTACTTGCTAGTATGTTGTCTTGCCAGTCACCTGATTTAATGAGGCCTGAGAAAACTTATTTTTAAAGTCTCCAGAAAACTGAAAAATAATTATTAAATATAGACATTATTAAAAATCAAAAGTTAGCTAGACACAGTGGCATACTACTCAGGAGGTTAAGGCAGGAAGATTGCAACTTCAAATCCAGTCTGGACAATTTAATGAGACCCTGTCTCAACATAAAATAAGGTCTGGAGATATAGCGTAGTGGTAGAGCATTTGCCTCATACGTGCAAATCTCTGAGTTCAGTCCCCAGCACCACAAAATAAAATATAAAATAAAATAAAATGTTATAAACTCACACTAAATTAATTACAATAAAAGCAAGATAATAAAACCTTAAAACATTATTTCCAACTGTTTTAACTCATACTATGATCTATGCCCTTGAGTCTATTTACATCGTATAATGGCAGTGCTATATAATGCTATAGAACATTGTTGCCTACTGAAACCCACACTTACTGATGTCATGTTGATACATTACCATGAAAATGTCTATGTCGAGAGGATTTACACCATAGAAATATGTATATGCTATATAAATTGAGGCTTGATTTATTGTTTTGATTCTTTTTTAGACTTAAGATAACGATGGAGGAAAAAAAAGTTAGTGGAGATTTCATTTATAAATATGACATGTAGCTGTTAACATTGTGAAAAGTGACAAAAATGAGAAATGTTTTTCTAGTATTCAGAAGACTAAGTAAAGAAGTTACACAAAATTCTGATATATGTCTTTATTGTTTCATTTTCATATCAGTCATTAGTTCAAATGGTTATAACAGTTTTCATGTTGAAACTATACTTGTGGATTAAAACTATAGTTTGGCTAAGGAAAAAGTGTGAAGAAAACCCAGTAGAACTTTCTTTATGACTCACTGGTTATATGCTATTTATAATAAAGACTATTGCACATATTACTATTATTTATAAATGGTGCCTTACTCATACATCTTTTATATCAATTAAATGTATAATTCACTTACACAGGTACACACATTATCCTCTAGATAACTGTGTTAAATATTTATAAGCTCTTCACTGATTTTTGCATTTATAATTGAATCTACAATCATCAGAAATTTGCTTTCAAACCTCCCCTTGCAGATAAGACTGGCGAATTATCATGGATGGGGCGGTCACGCTAAAGTGATCTTGGCAGAAAGCCTAAGAATGATGGTATTAATCTTTGGACAAAAAGAGTTGTGTGAGAAGAAACTCCCTGACTGTTTTTCCTGTTTCATACATTTCTGTTAAACAACTTGATGCTTTGAGTTGCAGAAGCTGTCACATGATCATGATGGGAAAATTAAGAGCTATATAGAAGTTACAGAGAAGGCTGCATTTATGAAGTCATTAAAACTATCCCTGTACATATATCTCTTTGCCCTTCTCATTACTCTCCTCACACTCCTACTGTCCAGTGATCCCTTTCTTTTTATCGTCATCATCATCATTATCATTACTTGTAATTATGGTAAAATGCACATCATAAAGTTTACCAAAACCACTTTTAAGTGTGCAATTTAATGGTATTAATGACATTCATACTTTTGTGCAACTGTCATAACTATGTACCTCCAGAACTCTCCTCATCTTGCAAGACAGAAACTCTGTACCCATTAAACAACTCACCATTCTTCTCTAACCCAAGCTTTGGAAATGACATAGATACTTTCTGTATCTATAGATTTGGCTCCTCTACCGACCTGTCATGTAAGTGGAATAATATAGCATTTGTCTCTGTGACTAGCTGATTTCACTTAAAATAATGTCCACCAGGTTCATTCATATTGTAACACATAGCAAAAATTCCTTCCTTTTGAAGGCTGAATAATATTTTGCTTATGCATTTATTTTTTGATAGACATTTAGGTTGTGCAATACGTTGTATGTTCTCTTCAGAGAACCCTAATACACAGAACCAATAGAATATAATTTAAAAGAAGGTTTTATTAGAGTGACTTACACAATCAGAGATTGGAGTATTTCATGATGGAATTTGCAGTCTGGACATCTGGGGAAAGAAATCGGTAGCTGCTTGGTCCTAGAAGCTGGAAGTCTGAGAACAAGAGGGTCCCGTGGTGAAGCCCCACTCCAAGGCAGAAGGACGAGAAGCTCCCTGGAGAATCACTGGTGCAAGCTGGCTTTCAAAGGCTTAACAATCTCGAGTCTCACGTCTTCAGTGGCAACAGCAAGGAACACCCGCTGAAGACAGCCACTACTAGCACACGCAAGCTTCCGGTTCTGCTTTCATTCCTTCCGTCCTCCGTAGGCGTGGGTGTCCTCCGTCTATTGGCTACCCCACATGCCAATCATCTCCGGAAACACCCTCACAGACAGGCCGTCAAGTGCCATTTTGTAGGTGGCTCTAGATCCAATCAAGTTGACAACTTCAGTTCTTCGGCAGACTTTGCTTGCACCTTTTCATTATTGTCGATAGTGTTGCTATGAATGTGATCATTCAGAAATCTCCTCTGGTCTCTACATTCAATTCTTTTCGATAAATACCCCAAAGTGGAATTGTTGGCTTTCATACTTCTCTTTAGAGATTTATGAGTAAACTATTATTCCTTAAGTAATTTTCATTCAGATTTTTCTTATTCGTTGCCAAAAGCACCCTAATGAATACAGTGCCATTTAATTCTATCTTGGCTCATATTGCTCATGTTTTTCAAGAAATCTCTTCCCAGATATACATAATTATTAATCTAAGTTGCTATGTTTATATTTTTGTGCTGAAGCCATACGAGCTTTTCCCCTTTATTAGAATGCACTGTTTTCTTCCACAGAGAACCTTTGTAAATTAGATATGCTCTGACTATAAGACTTCCAAAACCTCCTAAAACCACCATAGAAGTTAATTACTTGTCTTTCATCTCAGATCACTTACTTACAAGCACTTTCCTACTGTATGTCTTCCAGTATTGTTTTCATATTTATAATTTACTGTTTTTACATTATATTAGTTTTATATTTATTTCAATCAATAACAATAATATCTAACATAAATCCTTTTTAAATCTTTTATTCCTTTATGAATTGTCTAAACAATTCAATTTTCACTTCACTCTCTCTGATTTTATTATTTATCACTCTCCTCCTTCCTAAAATAACTTTTTACCTTCTCACCCAAGATTCCCTCTTTTATTTTTATTCCTCACTGAACAACTGCTCTTTCTCAGTTTACCCTGAATGCATCTATTTGAGCTGACCTCTTAATATGAGAATATTCTATCATATAGACTTTGTGTATTTTCATTTTCTGATATGACAACTGGTGTTGTTGAAGTCTCATCCAATATAATTTATTTCAATATTATCTATGGTGAATCCAGTTTAGATTTTTCCTCCCAGCTCCAGACTAATGGAAATGACCATTATGCTATCAAAGCAAAGATGTCCAAACAGGACAACTGAATAACACCTCCTCCCCACAAAGCCTTCTCCCTCCACGCATTTACCCATGTCATATGACAGCAAATCCATTCTCCCAGTGATTCAACTCAAGGTGCTTCAAATTAGCCTTGATTTATCTCTTGCACTTTCATTGTAAGTCTTCTTGATGAGGAAATCATGTCAATTCTACCTTCAAGATATACTTAAAATGTACCCACATCTCCCCACCACTTACACCCTGATCCAGGCCTCTATCATGTTTCACCAAATTACTGCAATTGCCTCTCATTTTTTTTTCCTTCAAATTTCCTCCCGTTCAAACTTTTTTCTGAATAGTACCATTTGTTTTTTGCTTTGAGAGAGAAAAGGTAACTTTGGAGTAGGGATGATTTAATGTCGCCTTTACAGTGGTCTGCAAGACACCAACAGTATAGTGTCCTGTCGCTCTGTGAATTCATCTGCTAATACTCTCTTACTCTACTCACCCTAAATCAGGGCTTTAAAAAAAAAACTGACTACTTCTTTTGCCAATAGTCTCCCAAATAGTTACATGGCTCAGTCTTCACCTGCTTTAAGATTTCCCTCAAATGTAACCATCAGAGAAAATCCTGTACTAGCCACCCAAATGAAAATGGAATACTTCCTGCCCTCAATGTTCCCTTTACTGCTCTATTTTTTCTTTGACCACATTTTGTCTTCCCATATAATGTACAAGTCACAGATTTATTTATTGTTTTCTATGACAAGAATTTAACTTCTACAAAGAGAAGAATGTTTGTTATGCTTTCCAATACTCTATTTCTATTGCTTAAACAGTGCTTTGTCCACATTAGGTTTTTCAATAAGTATCATTTCAATGTTTTGTTTTGTTTTGCTTTGTTTTGTACCGGAGATCAAACACAGGACCTTGTGCTTAGGAGCCAGGCCATGGTGCCACTGAGCTAAATCCCCGGCCCTGTATCAGTTCAATTTAAAAAAGCCAGAATTCTGTTTTCACACAGTCCATCCTACTTTAAAACTTAATACATGTCACATAATTGATTATTAATGAGTATTTTTTGAACGAATGAATGAATGAATGAATGACATCCCTAGTTTTGAGGTATTGCTCAACAGATTCCTGTTACTTATTATGTTGTGGGTCTCTCTGACTATCCACAGTGATTGTGATATATTCTGCTGAGGGTGAAATTTGGAGATACCCTGGGCCTAGGACAGGGATGAAAAGTTAAAAAGAGAAATCCCCTATCTTGGTTCTTCTGATGTCTCTCTTTTTTCTTAGTCTCTGCTTGAGTGGCAACACAAACACATGATGTCAACATACATCAGCAACACAAATTTTTCATCTTGGATGCTATTGCTTAGTAACAATGGACATAAAGCAATTCACAGAAATATACAGGATGTCTTCACTATAAAACACAGTGGACAAACAACTGCATGCAGCTCTTCATTCTCCCTCATCCACTTCCAGGGCCATTCACACAGCATCAGTTACACTGTCAGACCAAGAAAGAATTTATGCTTGTCATTAAGTGACCAAACTTAAGGTATATTTGTTTTAGTTTCAAGAATGCAATATAAATTTTCTTAAAATTACAAAAATTATCATTGACTATCATGAAACATCTACATCTTTCTTTTGAATCATAATCCTTAGCTTATCACATTCAAATCTCACTCCTTTGTATTATTTTCTTTTGTCACCTCATCACTTCTCTCTCCTTTAACTCTTTTCATTTTGTTTCACCCTCACCTCACTTTCTTTCTTTCTTCACTTGTCCTGTAGTCAAACTGTAGACATGTAAGTATGTGGATAACAGCAGGCACCAGCACCTCCATGTTATACACAGGGTCCCGAGCACAGCATGCCTTTGGCCCAGGCAGGTGGGGAACTGAGAGAAGCAGGCTTGCCATCTGGAGAGGAACATATGGGTGGTGTGGTGTACATTCACATGATTGGTGGCTGGGAGGCTCAGATATAGAAAGGGGAGTTTGGACTCTTCTTAATTAAAAAATAAAGGAAAGAAAGAATTGAAAGGGGTTGTTGATATGGAGAGATCCCATTTTAAATTACAAGCATAATTTTTCTAAATGTTCATATTCACCTATAAGGTTTTTCTTTAATTTGGAAATGTTTCCACGTTTATATAACAATTCAATGACAGTCATCTCATGCATTATTATTATTATTATTGCAGTTGTTATTTTCATAGCTCAATGAGACATTAGTTGTTTAGTTGTTCAATATGTTGTCAGACTAAGAGTTGTTTTGGGAGTTTTTATCTTCCTACTTGTAACTAGATTCTAACTCAGACAAACTGGAACTGAATTTTGGTAATAGGTATACAATTGGGAGAAAATGAACTAGTTTTTGTTTTTGTTTGTTTGTTTGTTTTTGTTTTTTACAAAAGTGCTCCATAGGTTCTTGATAGTCTTCAGCCATCTTTTGTATATTTTAAAATTTCTGACCTAGGGATCAGAGAAGCTGTGTTTCCTTTCAAAGCTCAATCTTCCCCAGAGCTTTAGGTAACTAGTTTTGATTTCATGGGATAGTCTTTCATTATTTCCAAAATAAAACAAAACAAAATCAAAATCAAAGATCTCTGCCCTACAAGATTCTGTGGTGAGGTTTATGATTTTAAATTCACTACCGTCGTAATTGAACAAAGTGGATAAGAGAACTACTACACTGGTACTCTAGAACAAACTGTGAATTGTGTCAGAAAAATTGAATACATTGCTGAAGAAAGAGATTACTGTGGTCAGCTGTACAATTAACAAAAATATTTCCTTGATGGGTGTATTAATAAATAATCATCTCACCGGGGATTTAATTCAGTGGTTCCAGTGCCTGCCTTACAAGCGCAAGGTCCCGAGTTCGATCCCCGGTACCAAAAAAAAAAAAATTTTTTTCTTTAAAAAAAAAAAAATAATCATCATCTAACCTTTCCAATACCAAATAATCATGGACATTTAAGGACCTGTGTAGAGAAGGAGGTCAAAAAACAAAGGCTTGTTACTTGGAATATTTCTCCCATCTCTGGGCACATCTTTTTCAGAGTTGTCTGTATTTAACATAAACAGTGAAAATGGCACTCTGGGGGAAGCAGGTAAGGTACTAAAACGTCACTAGGAAGAATGGTTGAATGAATGAGGTAATAAAATCCAACTTGGAGTGGGAGATAGTTTAGTTTCCTAGAAATATCTGAAAAAAAGATTAGATAAATGGAAATCAGTATGGAGATTCCTCACAAAACAGAAACTGGAAGTTCTATTTGACCTAGTTATTCCTCTTATTGGTATCTTCCCAAAAGAATTAAAAGCATCATACCAGTGATATATGCACACCCATGTTTATAGCAGCACAATTTGTAATAGGTAAATCTTGGAAATGATGTCTATCATTAGATGAATGGATAAACAAAATGTGGTTCTTTATATACAATGGAGTACTGCTCTGCCATAAAGAAGGATACACTTGAGATATTTTTAGGTAAATGGACTCACCTTGAGACCATACTTTCAAGTGAAACACATCTTTAAATATCAGACACACATTTAAATATTGCATTGTTTATCTTGTGTGAGAAACTGAATGTGCAAATAAGGACCAGAATGGATGGTAGATATTGGGAAATAGAAAGAAAATGTTCAAATGGGAAGGGGAACAAGTGTAGAAGGAGAGAGGAGGAAAGGAAGAGAAAAGGAAAGAGAGAATAGAAGGAAAAGGTGGAAACAAAGGTTTTGTAAATAAGGAGGGGAAGAAAGGCTGAAGGCAGAGAGGGGAATGGGAGAAAAAGAAAAATCAAG